ACACCATTTGCTGGTCCCAAGACTTTAAAAAAAAAGCATATCTTTTTTTTTTTTTTTTTTTAAGTTATATTATAGAGTATATATGCTTGCCAGAGAGAGAGAGGGAGAAAGAGAGGGAATGTGAGAAATCACCCCAGGAGGGATGGCTACACTTCAATCCTTTATCTTCCAATCTCCTGTCAGGATTTTCGGCACACATACACAACTGGCATGTTTTTCAAGCTCTGGGGTCCAGGACTCAAACCGCATGGTCAGCCATGAGTAATCCAACCACCCTAACCCCTACGCCACCTGCTGGCCCACTGTATTTTTCCTTTACCTCATTTCTTTACCTGATTCTCAGCAACTAGAGGAGGTTGGCAAACTTCTGTAAAAGGTCAAATAATAAGTATTTTGGATGTGGTAAGCCACTTACTGTCTCCGTTGCATATTCTTCTGCTTCTTTCCACTTCCCCCAGTAATGCCTTAAAATGCATTATTCTCAGCTCGAGAACCATAACAAGTGGGGTAAGGGTGGGATTCAGCCCACAGGCTGTAGTTTTCCAGTTGTGGTGGCACACCACTGTTAGCATCTTCAACCTGCATTATTTACTTACATACCCTAATAGCTGGCCTAGTGCTGAGCGCATCGTAAGCTCTCAGTGAACTCAGAACCCACTTAAGCTGAGTTAAAGTGATTGGGAGTAGAGGCAGAGAAGAAAAGTGGTCACATTTGCCCCAGGGAGATATGGCCTAGGGCCCAGGCTGGGTGACTTCACTGGTGGAAAAAGAAAGCTTCTCATAGTCACAGACTCTCACACCGCCCTGGAAGTCACAGGTCTCAGCACCTTCCCCTTTATAGCAGGAGACCTGCTACCTTAGACAGCTGGTCCTCTGGTGTCCACTCAGTGCAGCAACGGGCTCGTGAGAAAGCGCGTCTTTTCCCCAGTGGCTGCTTCTGGTTGGAGTCTCGCCGGCTCCTGCCACCCAGCATTCTGAAAAGTCACTGGCTTAAAGATAACATCTACCTCCAGAGGTAAGGATGCTTCGCAAATGTGAAATTACCTATACAAGCAAGCAAACAGCTCTACAACTGCTACAAACACTTCTTAGACAATGGTCAGGAAACCTTCCCAAAAACTGTTCCTGGATGGAACAAGTTTCTGATCCTGCTGCGGCTGCAAGTCTTGAGACAGGTCGACAATGATGAAGGAAGGAAGGGATGTAACTGCCAGGATGGTGCAGTATCTCCTGAGGATCCCAGAACATACGCCAGGATTTCCCTAGACATTCTCGCTTCTGCACACTCCGGCAAAGACTGAGGTGGGAGCTGTCTGCCTCATGAGAGAGGTTCTTCCCTCCAGTATCCAAAAGGCTCAGCATTATTGCCAGCGCCTGCCCTATGGGCATTTGTCTTCCTAGGCCTGGCGAAGGGCGGGGGCAGAATAGAGATGCTATCTCCTGTCCTTCTGGGTCTTCAACCTTTACGAAGTCATGGAGCCACCCACAGGAGCCTGGCTCTATTCAGACACTTCTTCCTCCTTTTCACGTCTTGAGATCTCAGAATAATTCACTGCAATGTTCTTTGTTAAGACTACCATCCCATATTCCCCTCCCCATCTTCGTGTCAGGAAAAAGGGAACAAGTGGTCCCTTGGGCACTGTAACCAAGCAAGCAGATGCTTGCAAGGGAAGGTAAGTGTCAGATGCTTAACTGCATGACTGAGTAACACGAGTTATCTAACCGAGCTTCACTCTGATGTAGCAAGTCCTACGTTTTAGATAAGAAAGGAAGCAAAAGGGTGGAAATAATTTATTTAAAGACAGGCTGTGACTTAGTGATGGAGCAGGGAACAGTATCAAAGTCCCTTGATTCGCTGATGAGGTCTTATCTAGCAGAGGAGCCAAAAGTGTGGGCAGTGAATGGAGACAAGGAGCACACAGCCTGGGAGGACAGGAATCACAGCCCGAGGAAACACTTTGGGAAAAGTAAATGACACAAATCTCAAGGTCTCTTGTAGCATTTCTAAGGAGTGCCTGGGTGTCCTACGCTTCTGAGCAAGGTAATTCAAAACTAAGTGAAAATAGGACTTCAGAACTCAATTTTGCATGTCTGACTTGGAAGAGCTAAAATAGTAAAGTGGAAAAGAACTGTCAAAAATCCTAGACGCAGGGTACCATGAAGAAATATTTCATGGGGAACAGACTTTTAAAAGTACTCAATGCACTAATAAGAGAATCAGCAGAAGTGAAGAGGTGAATGCCCTTTTATCCCTGGACGTCTCTGCAAGTGACAATTTCCTCTTGCCAGCCACCACTGGAATAGTCGTTTTTTGTGCTGCATGTGAAAAACACAGGTTAGAATTAAGCAATGCCAATAATGTATTTTTGTCTCTTATATCTGATATCATCTGACAGATATTAAAAGCTGAACCATGGCAAAGAGATCAAAGTCAATTTCAGGAAGAATACTTGAGATGTCTTGCCACTATGGAATGGAGGACAGGTTGAAGCATTCACCTTTTTTACTATGTGTAATTGTGCTGCTGTGATGGGGCTGTCCACAGCCCTTCTGAAGACCTCAGACCATTGTTACCAACACCCGAGGCAGGGCACAGCCCCTTTTTGCTGAGTTGGCTACAGGAATCACCCCAGGCAACTGTCTGAAGTCATGAGAGATAAATCAAGAGTGCAATCAGGATCTGGGGTTGGGTATAAGGCTGGAAATAGCACTGGGACCAACGTAGGGAGGTGGCATGACTGTGGCAAACAGGAAGTGAGGTCTCACAAAGGAATTAAGAATCAGAATGTAAAACCAAAGCAACTCATGTGGTCAGAATCAAAAGTGGTAATTGGAAGGATGGCTCAGGTCAGTAGGTCAGAGTGCTTGGCTCAGATCAGCAGGCCAGAGAAGACAGTGAGCAAAGAGGAGATTGACAGGAGGCCTTAATTGTGAGGCCTTCTCTTCCACCTGGCCCCATACTGCAGGTAAAGTTCTATAAGCTGACATCTCCAGGTTTTGACAATAGGTCGCCTGTGCACACACGAGGAAACTAAAACAGAGGAACGCCTGGCCTAGAGACTTGAACAAGGTGTAGTCAGAGGCACACCCCAGATTAAAATCTTTACCTCTCCAACTCTCTGTTATCTGTACATAATTAATACAAAGTGATAGGCTTGCATTTTCCAGATGGCCCCTACCATGATAGGCTCAATAAGAAGCACTGCAGGAAAAAGCAGTGATTGTCAGGCAACACCTAAAGGCAGGGAGGCCTGACTTCTGAAAAGTAGAGGCAATTCAACGATCTCTACGTGGAGATCTCTATGTGGACTATATCATCCTAATAAGGTTTACCTAGAGGCTTTCTTTCCCCTGCCACTGTTGACATTTTTGGGTTTCTTCCCTTACTATCTGTTAATGTGAAATCAGGTTTTAAAAAATGAACTTAAAGGGACCAACAGGTGGTTACATTGCTGGACTCCCATGTGGCTGACCGTGGTTAGAGTCCTGGACTGGGTGACTTGAAACTCACTCTGGGCACGTGTGCTCGTGTGCCCAAAATCCCGAAAGGAGAATGGAGGAGAAGCGACAGTAGAGTGGCCAGCCCCCAAGGGAGGGTGGGGGTGATTTCTTGCTTTCTGTCTCTCTGGAAAGTGCACATGCCCTACAGCATAAAATCTCTCTTAAAAAAAAAAAGAACCTAAAAACTATTTTAACCTAAGCTGTTCACACACCTAGGTCAATCTACTGGGAAAGATAAATGCTCCCAAGTCAGTATACTTCATGCTCTTTGGTGTTCTGGCAAAGTAGGGACAAAGTCTGTCTTTCTGAAATAGTTTATTGAAAATAAATAAATTTATAATTTACAAGGTAAATTCTGTATGCTCAGAAGAGCCAACCTGAGCCTACTGCCTTTTGCTAACTTGATCTGGGAAAGCTGGAACTCCTTTGCCTTTGGCTTGAAACCGGGAATTTTTATATACCAAGTTACTCAAGAATAAAGGTCTTGAGTGACTTTCAACTCAAACCCGAGACACAGATCATTGGTTCTTATAAAACAAGAAATAAGCAAGGGAGGTTAAGTTATCCATCAAGAGAAAACTGGACCATTGTTTATTGGCTGGTAGGCTGATTAACATGGCAAAGCAATCATGGAAGTATGGTGCTTATATGGAAGAGCGCTGAGAAGTGATATGAAGGATGAGTTAAAATGATGTCTCACGGGAACCAGCAGTTAGCGTAATGGCTATGTCGCTGGACTCCCACGTAGTCGACCACAGTTCGTGTCCCGGACCTGGTGGATTAAAATTCACGCCGGGCACATGTGCGTGCGCGCCCAAGATCCTGAGAGGAGAATTGGAGAAGGGATTGCGGCGTGACCATCTCCCCTGGGGGGTGATTTCTCACTTTCTGTCTCTATGTCTCTCTCTGTCTGTCTGGCGAGCGCACGCGCCCTATAGCGAAAATATCTCAAAAAAAAAAAGCCTCACTTTGAAGTGAGGTATTATTATGTATCACCAAAGTTGTAGACTTGTCACTTAATAAAGATGATAACCAAATGAACGAAGCAAGTATGTTCTGAATAATCCTGAAAGTTCTAAGACTTGATATTAAGAAGACATTCTTAAACAGAAATCTGCCCTGGGTTGGTTTTCTCCAGCTTTGGAGGTACTGATATTTTAGACTCAGTCATGTTTTGCTGAGAGGAACTATCTTGTGCATTGAAGGATGTTCAACAGCATCACTGACGTCCACCCGCTAGGCACCAGTAGCAACCCACCAACCCTTGTACAATCAGAAATCCCAGACATTGCTACACATCCCCTGAAGGGCAAAATCGCCCCAGTGGTTGAGAACCACTGGTCTAGAAGCTATTTTCTCTTTAAGATCACAATAAATATACATAGGCTAAAGTAAAAGGAACCAACTTGGGACACTACAGGTTCTCATGCTGATCATTAGATATGGTCCAGAACATTTTTAAATATATGCTGATATGCCGATAGCAAAAGCATACTCACTGTGTACAAGAAAACAAAAATCTTTCCACATCAGCAGCAGAGTGAGTTTTGTAAAGCCTTCTGCATCATATTCCACGACACCTCTAAGTAACGAAAACATACACACACAAACAAAAAAACCCACATAAAAATAAGGCATAAAGACAAGAAACCAAGTGAAGAACAAATGCATGAAGTCAGGATTCCTGAATCTCAGATGAATTTTAAGACCAGTATTACCACAGGAAGGGCAGGGCACTAGAACGGGAGCACCTGAGTTTCTGTTACGGCCTTGCCATTTACTGTCTATTACGACGACAGGCAAACATCACTTAACCTTTGGAACCTCAGTTTCCTCAACTTTCCACAAGTACAATAACATTTACAAACTTTAGTATAGGATGTTGACAACCAAGTCAGTGAAATCATAAGATACTACGCAAATGTCAGCAGTAGTTATGAGTGCAAATGGGCAAATGAAGAAATCAGGTCACCCATTTTACTCCTGTGTTACTGTATATTGGGTTGTTGGGAAAATCATGATGCATTTTTGCACAGACACAGAAAAATATGTCGTGACTTTCCTGACAACCTAATGCATCTTTATATACTTAATAAATGTTCCCTAGAGTAGGGTGGGCTATCACCAGACCACCAGTTACAAGTACAAATGGACGCATGAAGAAATCAGGCCACCCATTTTACTCCTGTGTATATTGAATATCTACTGTATATTGAATCGTTGGGAAAGTTATGATGTATTTTTCTGTGTTTTTCTATGCAAAAATGTGTCATGGCTTTTCTGACAACCCAGTATCTGCCGCATCTGACAGCCCTATCCAAGGGCTCCCTCCGCCCCTCCCTGAGGAACAAATGCATGAAGTCAGGATTCCTGAATCTCAGATGAATTTTAAGACCAGTATTACCACAGGAAGGGCAGGGCACTAGAACGGGAGCACCTGAGTTTCTGTTACGGCCTTGCCATTTACTGTCTATTACGACGACAGGCAAACATCACTTAACCTTTGGAACCTCAGTTTCCTCAACTTTCCACAAGTACAATAACATTTACAAACTTTAGTATAGGATGTTGACAACCAAGTCAGTGAAATCATAAGATACTACGCAAATGTCAGCAGTAGTTATGAGTGCAAATGGGCAAATGAAGAAATCAGGTCACCCATTTTACTCCTGTGTTACTGTATATTGGGTTGTTGGGAAAATCATGATGCATTTTTGCACAGACACAGAAAAATATGTCGTGACTTTCCTGACAACCTAATGCATCTTTATATACTTAATAAATGTTCCCTAGAGTAGGGTGGGCTATCACCAGACCACCAGTTACAAGTACAAATGGACGCATGAAGAAATCAGGCCACCCATTTTACTCCTGTGTATATTGAATATCTACTGTATATTGAATCGTTGGGAAAGTTATGATGTATTTTTCTGTGTTTTTCCATGCAAAAATGTGTCATGGCATTCC